CTTCGAACATTCTGCCTATTTCTCGTTGTTCGCTTTGTGTTGCCGCAATATTCGCCACATTATTTATTCATCGATTTTCTTCATTAGTAACTTGATTTTTTTTGTAACAGAACAGGCTTTAGCACAAATGCAAAAATTTGGCACAGAACCTGTTATTTTTAAATTTTTCGTCTGTTAAAGTAAAATTTTTTTAATTTTTTCATTGAGAAATAAAAAAACGAACGATTAATTAATTTGTTAGAAACTATAAGTCCTATCGGAAAGTGATGTATAAACGGTTTATGGAGAATTTAAATAGCTTTCATTTGCCGTATTTTATATGAATTGTTAAATTGGTTCGTAAGATATACGTGATTAAAAGGAACCAATTTTTGCTTTAAGCTGAATAACGGTAAATTGAAAATATCTCGAAAACGTATCCATAGAACAAAAACTTAACTAGATTTTCGGAATCAGCGAACAAGTCTATATAGAGATTGGATAGTGGCATCCATTGAACATTTTTGCTGTAAACAAGTGCAATTATTTCAAATTTTCGTAAGAATTATAAGTCTTTTGATAATAATTATGTGTGAGAAAAAATGTTTAAGTCATCGATACCTATTATTTTACGACTTAAATAATAAATAAAAAAATAAAATAATAAATAAAAAAACTGGACGCTTTCAAATCAACGAAGAGAGGGTTAGAGGTCCGCGAATGGCGCGACCTTTATTTTCTGGATCGTGAACCAAGGTCCTCAACCCGTCTATGGCCACTCTCATCATACTAGGCATCTGGAAAATGGGGAGAGTGGTCCCACTACTTAAACTGGGAAATCGTCCAACAAAGGAGTCTTACCACCCAATAACCCTCCTTTTCCAGGTAGCGAAGACACTAGAGGTCTTTCTACTCACGCACTACATAAACCACCAGACCCCAGCGAAGCATCAGCATAAGTTAAGTGCATAGCACAACAACAGCACTTAACGCCATAAAAACCCAGATAGCTCGTCGCCTTAACCGAAACCGGCCCCGTGAGAGAACAGTCCTAGTAGCGTTAGATCTGTTAAAGGCATTTGACACCGTCAGTCACTCCACGCTACAAGGAGACATTGAGGCCTTCTCTCTCCCACAGAGACTCAAACGGTGGTCGGCGAATTATCCTGAGTGGTCGACATTCGTCAGTAACCTTCAGAGACAAAAACAGCAAACCAAGAAAAATTAAACAGGGGTTCCACAGGGTGGTGTCCTATCCCCACTATTGTTTAATTATTATATTTCAAAACTCCCTCAACCATCAGAGGGAGTCACTATTGTCTCTTATGCTACAGACCTGCCAGAACACGGCACTTCGGACAGCGACCGGATGCCTTCTGATGTCACAACACCACCCACACGACGAGGCCCAGATGCTCCCCATCAAGAAGCATAACACAAAGCTCTGCAAGCAGTTTCTAGTAGGGTGCCACTGATAAACTGAAAATTTAGAGCCCTACTACCGCTATTACTCGTTAGTATATAATCATTTTCACTTTAATTGACTTTAATTGCAATAGTAAATCCTATTCATCATGAAGGATAAGTTAAAAAACAAGTAATTTTTAGCAAAAAAAAGAACCGACTTAAAAAAAAATATATATATCTATTATTTCATTATCCAATGATCGGATCTAAACCAAATGTATGGGACCACCTCTGAGACACTACCTTTCCGTTGCAAAAAGAATTATTGAAATCGGTTGACGTGGTGCAAAGTTATGCGGTAACATACATACAAAAAAAAAAAAAAAATATTCCGACGAACTGATAACGTCCTCCTTTTTTGGAAGTCGGTTAATAATACATAATTTTACATTTCTCTTGTGCCAATTCGTAGCATTTTACTGCTGGAAAGTTTTGAGAGCTTCTCTGGTGCAGAAGGTGGGCAATTAAAATGCAGCAATTATATAAAAACATTTGTCTTTGCTAATTTTAATTCTTCTGGGACTTAAAGCCATGCATTTATTAGATGTCGTGGCAAAAATATTAGGACAAAAGACAGTTCAAAACCGTCAGGTGTGTGTTATTCTTGCTGTCAAACTTTTAACAGCATTGCTAGCTCGGCAATCTTTATTCACCTCATAGTTGTCAAAAATGTACAATCCGGAATGATAAATGGAGAAGGTATATAACCGGCAGGTAATATTTACAACGCATAGATCTGTCAAAAGTTTGTATTGAAAATTTGCAGTGGCTCGAGCTGATTGGCTCAATGCAAAGCTATAACAAAAATTTAGAGCCAAAATTTCGATTTAATTCTAAAAATGCAATTATTATAAGACTCATAAAGAAACTTTTTTTGATTTTGTTTTATTCATATAAATATGCTTCTTAATATTACACATATTATTTACCTATACCAATCTTTTTTGCATCTACTTCATAAATTAGCAATCTCCACATTTTCACAACGAAAACTTCTGCTTCTTCGTCCAAGACCTAAAGAAATATATATTAACAAATCAACAAGAAATTTAGTCTGATAATATAGATGAATTACCATTTGCACATCGTCCAAAATGCTTTGGGGTGAACTTCCTGCAAGCACCTTAGAGCATATAAAATCGACAAGCGTTGGCTCGGGCTCACCAATATACTCAATAATTTTTTTGTTTATCCATGGTCGAATTTTTCTTTCCATAAGGTTGTTGTCAATTTCGTTGCGATCAAGCTTATAATTGAACAAATCCTCCTTTTGTGTAGGAATCCTGTCAATGATGCTTTTAATGTGCCGACGTTTTTCATCGTGTATCCTAGTATTATTTTCCTCCTTTTTGTTATTCACTGTTTCTGTAGTGGCAGTATCATTCTTACCATGTTTTTTCGAGATAGATTTTCCGGCATTCGAGTTATGGCGTTCTGTTTGTGATGTGCTTCCTCCGCCACTTCTTGTTTGATTGTCATCGTAATCTAAACTCAAAAAAAATTTATTAAGTTTTGTCGGTATCGTTAAAATATTGTGTTTACCCAATGGAACCAATTTTCGCCGTTTTGAGCTACTCTCGTCATCAACATCCTCGTCAGCATTAAACACACCAGTGGATTCTATTTTCTTCTTTTTGGAATTCGCACCCAAATTCAGAGTTATGACGGGCGCCTGTGTGGGTGTTGTAGTGGCGTCTGTAGTCTGAGACCTTGAATTGCCTAAACTCTGCAATGAACCGGACGGTGTAGAGTTTCCTGCATGCGCATTCACGCTCGATATACAGTCACGTGACTCGGAACCATGGCGGCTGTAGTGGATTTCAATATTTGAAGCAGAATTTGGTCTAGAGTTGGCATCTTCGTTTGAAATTGACTCTATGGAATACGATTTGGCCAGGGCATTCATTTCGCCTTCATCATTTGAATTAACATCAAGAATGTGTCGATTGCTTTCAATTGATTGCAATTTTTCCCGGATTCGTTCTTTCTCACGTTCTTTACGTTGCAAATTTTCTAAATTCACATCGATTAATATTTGAGGTTTATATAATTTCTCATGCTCTTTCTTTGCTCTTTCATATTCTTGTGTAGGATTTTCATATTCGCCACTGAATATTTTATTTCGCAATTCTTCCAATTCCTCTTGTTCTTTGTTGCGATCTTTAGCATCAAGATCTGCTTCTCGGACGCGATCTCCCAATCTTCTCTGCAGCTCTCGGCCCCTGTAGAACAAAATTGAAGAAAAATTATTTTTCAATTAAGTGCTATTTCAGCTCCTGGTAAATTTTTTAAAAATTTCTTACTTATAATATTTATGGTCATCTCGTTCATCATCATAGTCTTCAACAAATTCTTTGAGTCGTTTTGCTTCCTTTTCTCGTTCCTCAAGCTTCATTTTATCCTTAATCCGAATCTTAAAGCGAGCAAAAACTTACATTTTTAAGCCGCTTATTTTTAATCAAGGTGGCATAAAGTACGTACCTTTTCGTATTCCTTAGCTTTACGCTTTTCTCTTATTTCCCAGTTTTTAAGTCTTTCTTGGTACGCTTCTTCCTTTTCACGAGCTTTCTTTTCCGCTTTTTTACGCTCTCGAAGCTCTTCTTCGATTTCTTTCTCTCTATGCAGATCTCTGATATTCTTAACAATTTTTTCCTCCCGCTCTCTGCATGAAAAAAATATTAACCGTTTATGATTTGGTTGGTACAAAAACAATGTTCTTATAAAAGATAGCAGCCTTCCCAATTTGTATACCTACAATGTAACAAGCACACAATGCTTATACAAATTATTGAAAAATTAATCCTTCATGGGTTAGGTACTTATAGAAAAGGAAAAGTTATGGCCAAATACAATTCGCCAGTTGATAAAAAGTCGAATACCATGCCATGAGTGGGACTTTGCAACTAAGTTTGTAGACGCAAGAACAACTCGGAGATAATCAGGGCTATCCCTGAATCTAACGTAGATAATCTACGAATTCGAATGCTTGCTACGAATACGAAAAAAGCGCCATCACTGGATCCGAGTGAGCTCGAAAAAATTTTTGCCATATTCGAATTCCACATTTTGACGTTTCGAAATAATCTAGTTACAAGAAACAATGAAATGTTAAGTAATGTATTTTTTCGTATTTTTTTAATAATTTAAAAACTTTAAAAGGCTGATATGGATTTATTCGCATACAAGGGAACGTTTAGAAAAATTCAGGATTCAATTCTGCACAAAATATTGGTGCAAGCCATCCCGCAGCGGACTTTCATGAAAAATTTCAATATTGGGAAAATGGCACCATATCATATCTTTCAATCACCGCTGCCACTAACAATTTTTGCCCCTACCAATTTTCTTCCCAAATCCGACCAAAATCGTTTACAACCTACCAAATAAATTTCAATTACAAAAAAGCGTTCTGAAAGTATACATTTATTTAAGATTAATAGCCCAATTCTGTATCGGCGATAAAATTTTTTTTACTGACAAATTTAAACTTTTTCATATATATATTTTTCCGTAATAAAAACTGTGACAAGAATTAGTCACTGATACAGAATAGAGCCGTAAATGTTCCGAATACAAAACATTTACATACATACGTATTTGTACTTTGTACATTTTAAAACAAACAAGAAATAAATAAATGCAGATAGTCTTAGGCACAGAGATAAGAAAATATACGATAGAAATAAAAAAAGCATTTGGTTTTGCAACACATTCCTTCTGCCAAGTCTGCAGATCGCATACCGTTTACTTCGTAAAAGCAGGAAATAAAATAAAATTTCCTCAACTATTCTTAACACAACGCTTCCGAACAGTAGTCCTGAAATTCCTTCAGTTGATGTATCCTCTTTGGACTGTGGGAAAAGAAGCTATATATGTTGCGGCACAGTGTCTCAATGCTTTTCGGCAATTTTTTACAAGCGCAGCTTGAGCAAAGGTGAAGTGAGTTGCATGTGCACTTTATATAAAATAAATCGGTTTCAGCACTCAATAATGTTTTCAGCCCGCCTAAGTCTCCAGCCATAACATTGGCTCCATAAGTGGCCAAACCAATTAGGTTTCTTATTTTTAAAGGACGGATTGGCAAATGTTTAAAAGGTACAATTGGCAAATATTTTTTAAAAGGATGTTTGAAATATATATTTTTATAATTAAGAATTTAAAGACTTAATTCAACTATCCGACCAAAATCTTACTTTGCCGACCAACCTACCAACTGAAAAAGAAGCGACCAAATTTGGTCGGAAAAGACCAATAGTGGCAACACTGCTTACCACTCTAAATTATACACTCTGTCTAACGGTACAATTAATAAGGTCATTTGTAAACTCATCATTTCAGAATTTGCATCGCAAGTGAACGCGCACAGTGTCATTATTAGTGTTAGTGGAGCGATTGTATGTCTGATTTCAGTGTTAAATTTCTCAGAATGTGTGTGCTTGTGAAATTTGGTTTGGTTCAAGGCAATGGTAAGTATTTTATCACAAATATTTGATTTTCAACAAGCCCCAACCACCAAAAAAACGTAAGCGACATATTTAAAAAAAAAATCTTTTTAATGCAGAATAGTGATGTGCTGAATTGTCGGTACCCAATACTCGGTACCCAATACTTAAAAAAGGTTTCGTACCCAATACTTCCTTTTCGGTACCCGATACCGATTCTTTACATTAAACCTTCGCCATTATATGAATTTCAAGTTTAGAAAAAACTTGCATTACTGATTTATGTGATATCGGCTAAAACACTTGAACCTATCGCAACAAAAAAATATTATTTTATCAGTTTTAACCTTAGTCGATCCAAGGTTCAAGAAAAATGGTTTGACGGATGAAGAAGCCTTTCAGGGGGGAGATTCTGTAAACAGTTAGCGACAAGTTTCGGATCGATATCGCACTTGTTGACGTAAAAATATTTCATATCATACGTCAACAAAACCGATTCCGATTCGAAAATTGTCGCTAACTGGTTACAGAATCTGCCCGCAGGCCTACAAAAATGATATCGTCCGATTCAGCTGGAACAAAAATGCTTCAAGCATTATGGATACTTTTTAAATCGGTACCGAATATCAATCAATACTTAAAAGTAGACATATATACATCTTTCATTTGAATCAGTATTAAAAGCACTATTGGCTCCTACATTCGGGTTTTATTAGGCGAGTCTCCCCTGAACCGCTTTTTCCATATTTTTTTTTTTAGTTTTTAGTTTTGCGAAAAATTCATGTGTGCCAGTTGGTTGTAGAGCTACCTAAGCGATCGCTCAGGAATCAATTAGCGCATAAAAGCGCCATTTTGGTGTGTGTGCCAGTAGAAAAGATAAATGTGTCACAATCGAATAATTTTTATGGCATTGGTGGACATAAGCATCAACTGCTGGGTGAAATTGATAGTATTATAAAATTCAGAAACAGATTTAAAAAAATTAAATTACTTATACTGCCCGATGACTCTATGTCAATAACCATAACGCTGGGAGGGGATTTTTCACGTATTTTTGAAATTCATTTAACTGAAAAGAAATTAGTTTATAAAAAGAGTGCACTGAATTCATTAAATAAAACAAACTTTTGCACTTTAAAACCGAATGACTTTATGAATATGGTAAGATACAAGATTTTAAATGATAAGTATGTACAACTTTGTAGACATAATGGAAATAGTGAAGATGTAAATGTAAGCACCGAGTTAGCTGAATTCACTCGTGAATCATGTACAGGTGGTGGGATGCTTTTGCCGGAAATTTTCGGTATAGAAATTGCTTTCGATGATAATGAGGTAGATATTGACGCGAATATGATTAGTGCTCATCGTGATGAATTGAATAATATAATCCTAGATACATAAATAGCGCCGAAGAATATTCGTATTTGTCCTCTACATAGATTATTATATGCAAATTCTTTTAACCACGGACGTTCCGTTTCATTGTGCCCCTAGACGATTGTCCTTTCGAGAACGAGCTATGGTTCAAGAAATAGTTGACCAATTGCAAAAAGATGGAATAGTTAGGCCAAGCAGTTCGCCTTATGCATCGGCCATAGTCTTAGTAAAAAAAAAAAGATGGAGATGGGAGGTTATGTGTTGACTATCGAGGTTTAAACAAGATAACCGTAAGGGACAACTATCCATTGCTACTAATTGAGGACTGTTTAGAGTATTTAGAAGGGAAACAACTATTTACTTTGCTTGATCTAAAAAGTGGGTTTAATCAGGTTAATATGTATTTCGCTTGAATCGATCCCATATAGTGCTTTTGTTACTCCAAATCAGGGTGGGCAAAAACTCGAGTTCGAGCGAGCGAGCGACCAAACTCCTACTCAATGCCTCGCAGGCAACGAGGCCCTCGCAGCTCGTAGTCGTAGCAGTAATGAGGCGAGGCACGAGAAGTTTGGCTGGCTCGGCAAACGAGCGAGCGCTGCTTGTTTGCTCGCGCTCCTATTTAACGAACGAGGCTGTTGTGTGTTGCCTCGCTCGCAGTGCGAGGCGAGTACCTATCTGCATACTCGCTCTGCTAGGTAAAACGAGTGAGCGACGAGCGAGCGCTCCGAGTGTACTATACAACACATGCATTTTTGTGCATAAAAATGGGAATGTACGAAATTATGTTAAGAATTGTATGTACATATGTACATATGCATACAAATATGTGAATATTATATTAGGGCAGCATTTAAAACAACAAATACAAATTATTACATACATAAGCATAGATTATGGAATTAAATATTTTTTAGAGTTATATACATACATATGTACACACACAACATGCCCTGCAAAAAATTGTGCGACTAATCTCTAAAGAGAGTATTCCGTGATTACTCTCAATCGGGTACAATTGGGAATTAATTAGTCCCAATTAGTCTCATACGGGTACTAATGGAGGTCAATTAGTCTCGACTCATCCCTTATGGCCTCGCGAGGTCAGAGCCAATGAGGTCTTCGTTTGCTGGCCGCTCTACTCTTGCGCTGCCCTCGTTTGCTTACTCGCTCGCTGGCTGCTCAGCGCGTGCGCTCGTACTTAACGAGTGCTCGTTTGCAAACAACCTCGCCTGTTGCTCGTGAGTTGCGCAAGCTCAGAGCAAACTAACGAGCGAGAGAGGGGCTAAAATGAGGCAAATCCGAACTCTGCTCCAAATGGCCAATATGAATATGTGAAAATGCCGTTTGGTTTGAAAAATGGTCCTGCCGTTTTTCAAAGATTCATTAATGAAATATTCCTTGACATGGTGAATGATAGGAAGATTAAAATTTATATGGATGATATTTTAATACCAACAGCCGACTTTGATGAACACAAGAGCTTGGTTCAGAAAGTACTTCAGCTATAATGTTGCGAAACTTGAAACTTAATCTAAAAAAATGCAAAATTTGGATATAATACAATAGAGTACCTAGGATATTTAGTATCTTCTAACGGAATATCATTAAGTGAGTCTCATATAGCTGCAATAAAGAGGTATCCGTCCCGACAAATCAAAAAGAGTTACACTCATGCTTAGGTTTATTTTCATATATTCAACGATTTGTGCCGTCATTTTCAAAAATTGCCAGACCATTACAAAATCTTTTAAAACAAAATGCAGTTTTTAAATTTGATGAAGGGTACCTTGGGGCATTCAACTATTCGAAGACTAAGTTGAGCGAGGCGCCGGTGATTGCC